TTTTAACAAACAAAACATTTCAAGTATGATATGAAAGAAACACGTATATCCTAAAGTTAACATATTTACATTTCTAACAGTATATTTAATCATTAGGTTGGTAATAAAATGGAATGCATGTCACACTACGTGAAAAATAAGGAGTTCATTAAACATTTTACTTTATCTATTAATAGCATTTCCTGTAAACTTAAAGTGAAGATTCTAGAAAAATGGAAACAAATATTGCAGACTTGCTTTGACTGAGTCTACTAAAACATAATGACAAATGCAACCAAATGAAAATGAAGGGTTTAATATGTATTTTATGGTCCCTAGCACCGGTTTATCATTATTTATCATATTTAACAATATAAGTCCTGGCATCAATGGTCCCGAATGACCAGAACAATATATTTACGCTAAGATGCAGCCCTGGACAGCTGTCTTACACCAGTTAACAACTGCTGTTGTAAAAATAAGATTTCTGGAATGCAGGTGATAAACATCACGAAGATAATTTGTTTGTGATAGTTATGAGAGACTGCCATCTAATAACACCGGCATAACATTTATACAAACAGACTATCCAACATTTTAAACGTTTAAACTATGTTTGTATACATGTAGTTTGTTTGTTTGTTTGTTTGTTTGGTTGGTTGGTTGGTTGGTTGGCTTTACGGCGCACCAATACAGTATGTATGTATGGAAGACGTGATGATATAAAACATAGACCACTTTCTTGTTAGTCTAATGAGGATATATTACACCAAAATGCGTTTGTATTGGTCTAATGAGGATGTCATACCTCAATATGGCAAAACAAATACAAAATTTAAAAAAAACCCTAAAAGCAACAGTAATTGGATGATGCAACTTCACGTCAAAATTCGTGTCTTTTTTATCAATATAAAGTTATTTAAAGAGTACAATAAAAACTAGAAGTATTGTGAAATATGCAAATAAATAACTAGTTTCTCATGAAATCGGGAGATTGGTTCGTGTGCTTGCCATACTATAGCGGCTTTTAAAAAGTTTGGAATTCAGTCTCGTTTTTAGAAAAACACTATAAGATTATCACACCATCTGCATGATCTGATTTACCTAAGAATTCCTGGTACCCGCCAATAAATTTCAAGGGTATCTTATCGTAACAGCAAAGTTGAAATTAAAAATATTACATTACTTAAATCGTGTAATACTTTTTTGACGATATATAAAATGTCACGTGGGTTGGCTACCTAAGTAGAGGTGTTAAAATTTAATTGCAATACATTTATTGTTAGCCACAATAATGTATATAGGACTTTCAAAAACAGATATTATTCAGAGCGGGCGCTATGGTGCAGTGGTAACACTGTTTGCTTACCAATCAAGGGGTCATGAGTTCGATCCCCCGCTACTCCACTGAAGTGAAATGACTACGGGACTGACAAAAACTTATAACTAAACGAATAGAACACTCAAACAACAGAGACTCAACAGTTAAAAAATACAGATACAGACGAAACTGACCAGAATTCAACTCAAAAGACATAACGGAAAAGAGGAAAAGAAACATAATGAACAGACGGCAAAAGTACAAAAAGGGACGTCATCAGGCAGATAACAACAAATACTTAACGGAGCATTCTACAAGCCACCGAATGGAACGAACGACAAGACACGAAACGGAACAGACAAAAAAGATTGAAAGACACAAGGACATCAACGATACAGACAAGTGGAAAATTAACGGAACGGAAAGAGTACCTAAAACAGAAGAACTAACGGAATATGTAACAACGGAATGGGTTACGGAACATACAACAAACAAAGTCGTAACAAATAATGGAAAAGACACATACTTGTCTGACTACAGATCACAAGTGGGAGGGAGTTTGATACCTAACAATGACAAAGCCAGAGGATAAGATAAAAAACCGAACAACAAGAAACCTAACAGAACACACAGACAGGGACGTTAGGGGCATATAACAAATACTTAATGGAACAGACGACATCAGTAAACAAGACACGACAAAAGACACAATGACATCAACGATACAGACAAAGAAAGACAAGACATAAAAACAGAAAAATAGAAAAAAAGACAACAAGCCACACAAAAAATACAGAACAATAGAAAAAAGACAACAAAACACATAAAAAACAAAACAATAGAAAAAAGTCAACAAGACACATAAAAACAAAACAATAGAAAAAGGTCAACAAAAGACATAAAACAGAACAATAGATAAAAGACAACAAGACACATAAAACAGAACAATAGAAAAAAACAACAAGACACATAAAAAACAGTACAATCCATGCAATAGAAAAAAGTCAATAAGATACATAAAAAAAACAGAACAATAGAAAAAAGACAACAAGACATATAAACCGGAATAATTGAAAAAATGTCAACAAGACACATAAAAAACAGAACAATAGAAAAAAAGACAACAAGACATATAAACCAGAATAATTAAAAAATGTCAACAAGACACATAAAAAAACAGAACAACAGAACAATAGAAAAAAGACAACAAGACATTTAAACCGGAATAATTGAAAAAATGTCAACAAGACACATAAAAAACAGAACAATAGAAAAAAGACAACAAGACATATAAACCAGAATAATAAAAAAATGTCAACAAGACACATAAAAAACAGAACAACAGAACAATAGAAAAAAGACGTCAAGACATATAAAACAGAATAATTGAAAAAATGTCAAACAAGACACATAAAAAACAGAACAACAGAACAATAGAAAAAAGACAACAAGTCAAACAAAAAACAGAACAATAGAAAAAAGACAACAAGACATGAAACAGAACATTAGAACAGAAAACGTGGACCGAAAGCAGAAGAAAAAACAAAACACGCACAGACAACAACTCGGCAAATTAAAAGATACAGACAACAAACTCCTTCACGTCCAGCCGAACCGAAAATAGTAAAGACACATACTAAAATCAGTAACGTTGCTTAATTCACTTAGAAAACAATGTACATGTATAATTGTGTTTGTAAATACAGTAAAGGAAATTATTAAACTGTCAAATTATATATGCAAATTATAAAAAATTGTGTTATACTGAAACAATTGTTACATATGTTCTAAGATATGAGAAAAATAAAATGCGATTATATTTAGTAACGAATTTATATTTCTTTGACAAATAGCTAAATAAGGACTACTTGAAATGTAGAAATACAAGTTTCCAATCTGTTATGTGTAAGAATATATCTGAAATAGTAGTTATTACGTCACCATTTTTCATATTCAAACACGTGATAGACCTTTTAAAAACGCTTTTACTCTTCCCATTGAATGGAAATGTGTATATTTTAGCATAAAATTTAACATAAATATTGTAAAATGCTACCACAGAACATGTTTGTAAAACATTTATAAGCGTCTATTTGACACGGAGTTTGAACGAAATCTGTCAGGCCGCTGTCTGAATGGATGTTAGAGAAGAAAGGAAGAAGTTTTACGCATTTATAGACAAATGGAATTAATTGAGAAAACATACAATTGCATACTTACATAAACTTTGACTCACTTTATTTACAGCGGATTAAATTCATTTTTGATTTGTTGGTTAGTGTATAATACCAAAACCACACAAAAAACACTATATTGTCGTCATACATTTTAGTCATACTTTTAAGTGGTGGTATTGTCAGTACTCCTTTCATATAATAATGTTTTGTTTTGTCTTTGTATAATATTATTATCAACATCATCATCACACTTTCAAACAGTTAATTTTTTAAAAATATTATGTTTGTTTGCCATTTACATGATGACTTTAATATACAAAAATATCATAACATGTTACAATGGATTAAATTGCAACAAATATGGTTACATCCCGAAGTGTTTAGAGAAGCTGCTTAGGTTTTATACGTCATAACCATGATTGTTAGTTTTATTCCATTTCAAGTTTGGATGATTACTTAAAGTAAAAATTTTACTAACTAAACTGTTGTGTTCAATGATGTTTAAAGTATTGATGTAAATACGTTTTGATATTCTATATTCTGCTTGTAATATGCTTTGATATTATAATTGTATTACTTTGAGAACGTACAAGGCAGTCAAAAGATACTATCTTTATATTGACATGCAGTGCGTACACTTTGATAGCTTTCGGATGTCTTTTTGAAAACACTATGAAAAGGATATTTTAAAATAGAAATTTTAGTTCTCATCTTTCACAAGAATTGTGTTGAGTTTTTTCTTCATTTATTACAATTTTCTAAGATGGTTCTACATAGCTAATGTTAATAACCTTTATTTTCATTCTTTTGTACCAATAATTGATATTATTAAAACAAATATGAAATTCAAAAAGAATAAGTTATAAAGCTTTACTTTAAAAGAGGGATATTTCTTATATTCTTTTCTCTTGTTGCTCTTTTTGCAATGTAAGATGGTTTGGCAAAAGAATAGTTTCGGTGTTGTTTCGTTTCGATTATGATAAATCGACTGAATTCAAAGGTTTGTGCTGACTACTAATGTGGCATTAAAGTTTTAACATTTTATAAACCTTTGGTAGTTTTTAAATGCTTATATCTTTGTTCAGCGCATATAATTACTGGCAAAACAATTTTTTATTTATATCTTGAAGAAAAGTTCTACTTTTTAGTATATAATCTTTTTCACTCTTTCACCTTTTTTCATGCATTCTGCTGATATTTGACACCCGTTTGGACATTAACTAATACTTGTCCAAAAAGTTCTTTATATCTATTTTTCATTATGGTTGGTTTTTATTTATTGTCAAAGATTTTGTACATGCGTCATTCAAGTTTAAGGCAATAAATTACCATATTTATTTCATCCAAGCATTTTGAAAGTATACTTTTTAGATTTCAAACAATTATTTTTGCATCAGATATATATTATAGCTTTATACACTTTAAGAGATGCATATCTATCTCGTTCTCATATTTCTCTATTCAAGTTTAAGTTTAGTTCGGGCTAGAAATAAGACATATGGAATGACTTTTGCTAGACCATGTGTTCTGAAAACTTTAATAATAATTTCAGCTCTAATAACATTTATCTGTTACAAATTATCAGTCAGGTCTGAGTTTGTTGGAACCCCCGGGGTTAAAACCTCCATCTGTGAGGCATCCAAGACATTTGTTTGTCTCTGACAATGGTCTTCATATTCTGAAATATAGTTATACTTTAAATGTGTATACATTAAAAAACTTTATAAATAAAAAGAACACTTTAGGAAATACAAATTTAAACAATAATTCAAAATGTGTTTTTTAAAAGCGCTTTTGCACTTCTAAGGACTGCTCTTAAAAACACATTGCAATTAGGAGTCCTCGTGCTTCAAACAGGAATATCTGTTATACGAAAATCTGGTGTTCACTTCGTCAAAATAATCGTGTGTAGGCAAACATTTGACAATCATTTGTCATGTATGTTGTTTGAAAACAGAGCATTCTGCAATCCATCAAATTCTAAAGCACCCCTCTTATAGATATCTTCATATTTTCTCATATTCTCTTTACATGGATTTGTTTCCTGGTGCAATATTTTTAAACTTCCCTGTGTGTTATTTTTACTTTTAATTTTGTCTTATTGTCTGATGATAAATATTAACATATTTAATCTTTAATCTTTTATGTACACATCTTATTAAATCATTATATCGCCAAAATCTGAACCGATGTATCGCTAGAAGTGGTTGAATTACAATAAACTTAGTTTTCATTTCAATCCTCTTTATCATATTGTATATTTTTTCTGTATGTTAATAATACATTATCTGTGTATTTGCAAGTAAAACGATAATCTCTAAAACATTTCTATTGTACATTTCTAGCACAAAAATACATTATTTCTAATTATTTGATAGATGCCATGATATTTGAAAGCAGTAGTAGTTTAAGTAGTTTTTGAGTTTAGGTTGTGATTGAAAAATGGTTGTATTGGGATATTTTATGATATAAATACGCGATCTGACTGGACATCCAATTTGGCTCGTCCAATCAGATCGCGTATGAAAACGCAGGTATCAGAATCCGAAATGGCTACGACAAGTCAATATATATATATATATATATATATATATATATATATATATATATATATATATATATATATATATATATATATATATATATATATATATATATATATATATGTATATATATATAGAGAGAGAGAGAGAGAGAGAGAGAGAGAGAGAGTTATACTATATAAAATTGTGTTTTATGATGCATATAGAAAAAGCCAATGAATATAAATCATGAAATAATAATAAAAAAAGAAATCTTATATAATTAATATCACCAACAGCTAGAATTGTGAATGTTTCTGCAGAAATTTAAGTAGGAATTTTACACTGGCCAGAATAGCAGGTGGCAGTAACACCCACCCTGCCCCTGGACCCCTGCTAGCGCTACCACCCTAAAAAAATAGTTCACTTCTAAGGCTTACTATAAGATACTTAATACAAAACCACCGATATTTTTTTTCCAATTTCAAAATTATAGTTATAGAAAGGTGGAAAGCCTTCTATATGTTAAATTGCCAAACAATGTGGAACACGGGAAAACGTCGTTTCGGCGACTGAGGCGCACTCCGGCGGCATTTCTCTGCATCATTCATTAACATCAATAAAAAGAACTGGAATAATTCAAGTCCAACAAATATCAATATTCTATCGATATTATTTCTTTTTGACTTGTCGTTGTAATTTTGTTGTCTGATACCTGCGTTGTATACGCGATCTGACTGGACATCCAATTTGGCTCGTCCAATCAGATCGCGTATGAAAACGCAGGTATCAGAATCCGAAATGGCTACGACAAGTCAATATATATATATATATATATTCTACCGATTTTTTTCTGTTTCACATTATTTTTTGACTTGTCGTAGCCATTTCGGATTCTGATACCTGCGTTTTCATACGCGATCTGATTGGACGAGCCAAATATATATGTATGCAGTCCATTCATTAAGATTGTGGTGTGTAAGCGGCTAGAACAATGAACACTGTGATAGAATGTGATATACTAACGCAATAGATTATCCCTTGTTTTTGTATGATGATTTCCAACAGATTCTACCATCATATATGGTGTATAATCGTCACAGAATGCTGCAATGTTTCCCCCAGCAACTCTTGTCAGCTCCATCGTGGACATTGGTGTTGGCAAAATTGTTTGATCAACAACAGGTGGCAGCTTCACAAGCTGAATAATGAAAAAGATAAAGCTTTAAAGTAATAGACTACATGTTTCTTACGTAGTATCTAAAATGACCGTAAAATAGATGACAGTAGCAAAAACCTATCGATTATTTTCAAAATATGTCTTTAAAACAAATCTTTGAACGGCTTAAGCATTATTCTTCATTATTCCAACTTAAATGTTCGTTTTCCCTTTAATTAAATTTTGCAGTGCACCTTTCATGGCTGATAAAAACTACAACAATATGAAATTCTTAATAATGTCATATAAATAAAAACGAGCAATAAACTATTTGAGATAAAAATAGAGATTACGTCTTATTCTGAAAAATGATTAAAGCCTTACCCTTTCATTGATATATGTCGTCTTGGAATATTTGATAACTGCTATCAGGCATAGACCACGGTCAACCAATTTGGAAGCAAAATAACCCTGTTTTTATTAATAGAAGAACTAATATATGGTTAAATGATATTATATAGCATTAAAACACTTGTTCACCGTGTATATCCAATAACGCCGGAATGTGAAAATAAAGAGTAATGTCTTCGCAGCCATAGGCCAGTTTACCTTCCGCGTTGGAATTCCTGTAAGGTATCCGCCATTTATTGCACAAATTCTGCGTTACTTATTGCGTGAATCATGCGTTATTTTCACATTCCAGCGTTATTGGATATACACTGTGTTGTTGGTAAGTAAAAACTAACTGATGATTACAATGCAAGCCAAGCAACTATTTGGAACACCTCGCCGATATTCGGTGTCCAAAAAGGCAATTATCGTGGATAACCTTACAAATTGTCTTGGATACCTTTTCAATTTATACTTGAATAATACAAAATGTTCAACAATGACTACCTACATTACTTTGTATAAATCCAAACCTTCATAATACGGAATCTTACACGAAAAATTCAACATCGTTTGGGGTTGTTTTTTTTTTTTATTTATTTATTTATTTATTTTTTTTTTTTTGCTTATTTATTTGAGATGTTTTGCAGTACAATTCATGCACTTTGAATATGCTTGCTCCAAATTTTCTGTTCAACATAAGTATGATAAATAAAGCGGATTTCCGCAATAATATATGGTCGCATTTTGTCAAGTATGCTCTTTTTAAATTGCCAAATTATACAACTCAATGTGACAAAAAATTATAAATGTTGTTCATATTGACTTTACGTATCACGCTTAACATTCTCATATAACAATTACATTGAAGAAAGATGTCAAAGATGACTATTTAAAAGATAAAAGTATTACATACCGTATTGTAGTCATGCATTTTTATTCCATTCAAGTGTCCAGGCTTGAGTTTTGCACCAAAAGTAAGGATTTTTGTATTATCCCTCACATTTGTCTCAGACTCATAATGGAGGATGTTGCCATCTGGCATTAAAATCCCACCTCTCTGTGATAAATAAAAAAACGATCTGTCATTATACGCGTAGTTAAATTTTAGGGTAGGTCCGATATTTAATAAGAGTATTAATTGTGGTATTGCATTGGACCAATTTATTTACGAATTATGATATTACTTTATACACATTTATCTTAGTTCGATTATGTTAGAAGCTATGTTACTGAAACACTCTCGAATCCGTGCCTGGAACCAACCAGTACTAAGCAATGAATGTAGTTTCTTGCTCAATGAAACAATGGCTTGCCCCAGTCGGGATTTAAACCCACGTGGCAAGCAATACTTAGATAACTGGTCTGGCGCTTTAACTACCCGGCCACGCCGCCACTCATGATATTAAATACCACTTCACAGCAAAATTCACAAATAAATGAGAAGCATGTAATAAAAGACAACTTAAGCACTCGGTTGCAGATCACTCAACATATTCATGTTATGTCTTTTTGATCCAATTTAACATTTGATTCAAGAACACTTATAAACACGTGATTACATCCCATATCACAAATTGTTCAGTGTATAGCAGTTTAGCAAATGAATCTAGAACAACTCTCAAATCAATGCTTTACATGTAATGATAGCATCTGATTCTAGAAGAATACAAAAATCTTATTTAAGCACGTGGCTACAGTGACTTTCTTCTCATTTAATTGGAAAAAGGCATAAGCCTCTTGATTTTGGGGGAAATATCAGTAGATAAGCAAATTTAGGGAGTTAACAAGCTAGTGTAAATTCAGATTGTTTGGAAAACAGCATGTTTTTAAAGACAATTTGGATTTGTGATAGGCCATTTATAAGCCTTTATTATATATGTACTACTTCACGAATGATTGTACATGTAGGATATCCTACTCCAGCACAAATTACAAATCAATGTAAGCACTGGTAAAAGAACAATTTAGTGTGTAACGTCTGATTGCAGAACCATGAATTTGATAATAATAACGATCGTTATAAATGTAAAACATATGGTTACTGACCATTAATTTTTATGAATTAATGTAAAGCATGTCATAGCAGTCATAGTAAACCATAAAAAATGTTTTAGTTTTGCAAGAAATATTGAAATATATTTCAATGTAAAGCAGATGGTTCCAAACAATTCCAAAGCAAAATTATATGTAATTGCTGAACAACTGTAAAGCGTGTGACTACATTTCTTTAACGAATATCCAATGATAACGAACACATGTTTCATAAAAAATGAACTTTTAAATAAAAACTGAATACCTTAGCACTTGCAAACGACACGAAGAATAACAGTGCAACAAATTTCATTTTTGACCTCTGATTCTGTAATGTTAAAATACATTGTGTAAACCATACTAACGCTTTGACTTAGCTGCTCAAAAAATATCAAGTTTAATATTTTCATATGAATACGTCAAATTATTCTGTAAAAGAAAATAAACAGATAGTTTACATTTATCAACATTCAAAATAACATGGTGTTTCTTTAAAAAAGAGCGAATTCAGAATTTTTGAACTGGTTTTTCTATAAATTAATTGTTACACCAATATTTACAAATAAGTAATTGTTCAATTTACAAGCTTTTTACAAAAGTATATGCTTTTTTGCGATGAACTGTCAATTCAATTCAATTAATGAAAATTTAATAATATAAATATACCTGTAAGTTAAAAATATTAAAGTTTACGACTTGAATAAGAAAAAAAATTTGAACTAAAAATTCAAATATGAAGTTATCATAAACAACGTAATATCAATTTCGAAAAGATTGCTTAAATTTCTTTAACACTTATAACAAATTTACTACATACATGTAGCAGAAAAGTGCTCCGTTTTGTTGTCATAAACATTCGTCTGCATTTTATACATTTCCGTAAAGAAGAAGAGCCAATCAATGCAAAGTGTCCCAGATTGGTCTGCAAGAAAGCATTCACCCCACGTTACAATTACGTGATGGCAAGGTTAACATTGACAAAAAAGTGCTATGTAATACTTTTGACAGTCACAGAATGCGAACAGTTTGTGCCATTATTTTTCAACTTTCTAATTTGTCGTACTTGCCAAGTGTACACTACATCTAAGATAAAACGTAATTATGGTGGTTGATTTGTGCCTTTCGGAGCGAGATTTAAAAAATAAAACGGCGGAGCGGATGCACGCTAATTAGTGCCCTCTCTAATTAGCTTCTTAATTCTGATAACTTAATTCTAGACATTTCGACAGGGCGCAAACACGCCAATAAGCGGGGGCGCGGGCGAAGTTTTATTTATTAAACTTCGTTACGCCCCCCCCCCGATAGTAAGCGTGTTTTCGCTCCGCCATTTTAGCTTGTAATTTTAACTGTTTCGCTTGTTTTCGCTCCGCGCCCCGCCGTTTTATTTCTTAAATCTAGCTCCGCGACCCCGCGGGCGAAGCTTTATTTATTAACATCACCCACGTTAATAAGCAACTTTTCGCTCCGCGCCCCCGCCATTTTAAATTGTTAATTCTCGACTTTTCGCTTGGCAGGTTGCAGGGTGAAAACACGAATGGCAAAAGTCAGCCACCATACGTAATGTAAGAACATATTTAATTGTTGTTGAACTACAGGGTGTCCCACAAAATTGGCACTCAATTTTCATTTCAAATAACTTAAAAAGTATTAAATGAAACAGAACGTTTTTTAAACTGTTTGTTTATATGTCCTATATGTTTGACTACAAAACAGATCAAATGCTTTGAAAATTTAGAGACATTTGTTTATTATCTGATGTTACTCGTTTTCAAATTAAATCAGCTATTGTTATCTCGAAATAATAAGTTCATTTTGAAAATGCTTTGAATTGCCATGCCATTTCCGTTTTAAATATTTGCATAACATTACAAATGAAAAAAAGTTTTGCAATACAATTATACAAAATAATCAAACAAATGGTTTAATTTATTGCTTGAAATCTTAATGAAATGTATCAGTTAAAACTTGAGAGAATGGGACTTTTCTGGTCTTGTTTGTATATCACCTTTATTACATTTTAAATGTCATCCTGCCATTGCAGTTTTATCTACATGGATGTCAAACGATCGGTCTATGTGAATAACATCTGAAACATTCACAATATATCGCATCACACCTTTTCAGTTACAATTTCCAGCTAAAGCTCAACAGACCCCCCACATACAATTTCAGACAAATATTTCAGGATTGTGATATATTGTATTTATGATTGGTGGAATAATGTAAAATTAAACTAAAATGTGTTTTGTTTTACAGGGACTGTGAATCTACATTTGTAATTTAGGCTTTACATTATTGCGAAGTTATATACTTGGCGAAGTTATATATTAGGCATTATAATATTTTTTTACTGTCTACTTGCAGATTTGTTCTTGCTATTCATTTCATTCGTGGTAAATATTTAAATCTTTCATCAAAATTTAAATTGGTATGTAAATAGACTTGAAGAAATTATATATAGTGTGACTATGATTATTCAAATATGCTCTCTTTAAACGTTTCAAAATGACCTGTAACTGACAAGAGCTGGTTAAACGGATCATATTTGGTCTATTTCATTATACTTACAAGGGTTCTGATGATAAGGCATGACATATTTGTATTAGTCGAAACAACAGATGTTCTCCTTTGTGCTAAATTACAAATGGTGAATTATGCTGAGTCGATAAGTAACAAAGCGGTCAATAAGTACTATATATATGGAGAGGAGGTGGAAAAGAAGAGGAGACAATTAATGTGTTTTTGTATCTTTCGACACACCGATGCAAAAACAAAAATTAAAATAACAATGAATGGTGTAGATCTACTTAAGGTATGATTAAAACATAACTGGGTTTACAAAACACTTCTCACAATAATTATGTAAACGTTTTTAAACTCATAAACATTCAAATTCAGATGAACAATATGCTCGTAAATATCAAATAAAATTAGAGATACCGGTTATTTAGAATTTTGAAGTATATTTCAGTCTGTCTTCAAATATCTAATGTACGTAAATGAGTTTCAATGAAATGGTAAATGGGGAAGTATCAAGGTAACACTTAAAAACGTCCCTAACATATCGCTTCTATATATAGTACTTTCAGTGTTTGATTAAATTCATCGTTGTTTATCTTAAAGTTTTAGATGCGGCTGAACTTTGACAGAGTAACCCATTTTAATATTTGCAAAATGTGAGATTCCCATAAAGATAAGGACGGGTACAAATTATTCGCACTAATGGTTAAGGCCTCAACAGACAGTAGGATTTAGTTGTACAACACTAATTAGAGATATGGTAAATATTTATATCTTTGATCAAAACAACACTTGCATTCAGACCGGAATTCTGCATTGTAAGAATCATCAGGTTTCCCTAAAAAACAAAGAAAAAATGAAAACAGTTCCCTCTCAATTGATCCCTTACATACTTTACTAAAACAAAATTTTTCTCCATGAGTATTAATTAAAATTCGTTCATATTTTTAAAAAAAAATCTATAATTATCACTGGGGGTGATTTATGTGCATCCTGACCGAGAGACGAACCTTGAACCTCGGAATACCGTCCTGCGGCTCTACTAACTGAGCTATCTGGCCGCTTACCAACTACCTCCCCTTTTTATCGAACAGTTCAATACCGTGACATAATCATTTTCTGAATAATTTGGGATTCGAACATACCACAACTTTGGGTCTCCTGAGGAGTTTTTTGAACACCATTTACCCCCATCATACTGCTATATTTACATTTAACCCTAAATGTTCTGGAATTACATTTATTTAACACATTATCAGGGAATAATTGGAAAATATTTCATCTGTCATCGTGGGAGGTCTATACACCAAGTATTAAAAGATAAAACATGTCCTATCCTGTACATCTAGTATTAAGTTGTATGAATTCTCACACATTAAGATTTGCTTGTACATCTTAGTTTAAATTGGTGTTGTACTGCGAAATCCTACCATCTGTTGAGGCCTTTATTGGTTTCGTAGAATTCTATTACATATACAAGTACATATTTTTCCAGATTTTATTTACAGCAATGAGAGTTCTTTTTATATTATCACGTGTACCCTGTATCCAAACTTGAAATGTATCATCATTTTAAATTTGATATTTCTTTGTCTTGTAACTTCAAACAGCGTAAAACTTGTTTAAAGTATGTTTATTTTTTATGGGCAAAGCAATTGAAGTAACGTTTTTTCAGGTAATAACTATGTTCTTGTCGTACGGGACCATTGGTTTCGTTGCTTGAATCGTCGTTGTTAAGGGCATGGGAAGTGTTTCACATGTCAATATCTCTGATGAGCAGACTTAATCAAACCGAGTCTGATTTCTTTGCCTGTTTGTTTTGTTTCATTACTCTTTAGGAAAAGCCCCTATAGAATTATATAAGAAAAAAGGATTAAGTAAAATTGAAACGTTTTGCACATTATGTTTTATCGAACGACTATGAATCAAAGAGGTTGGGATTTTACTGATTTTTTAATTCGTCAAATTGATGTTAATCTTGATTTTTAATGATTGAGAAATCAAGAAACAGTAAATATTCAAGTTGAGAAATGGTAAAGGAAATTTTAAATATTAATAGTACTGACTTGAAATATTAAAGGATAAATAATTGATTATTGAAGTAGGAAAATGGTGGACCGGTGAAGTTTATAATTACCAAGAAAGTCGGAGGATAGAGAGACAGTGTATGTTTAAATATTAAATGGTAAAGTCATGAAATAGTGTGTAGAAGTGTACATTAAAGTTTGTAATTGAAAATAAAAAGTAGCACTTCACAACTCGGTAGATTTTTTCCATCTTATCCCGAGTACATAAAAATAAATATAATAACAACTTGATAAATATATCGATGATAATCGCAGAACATGGCGCATTGTACAAAAGTTCTTAGACTTTATATTTAGAAAGAACAACTGGTCCATCCAAAACATCGATCATTTCATACGGGCCTTTTACGATCATTTTCCTAGGGTTACAGCTTCGCTCCTTATATTACTGTAAAGAAAAACCTCAAAAATAATCCAATGGCTAATTCTCTACGTTATCAGACGAACGGTGTCATAACAGCTGTTTCTAGAAAATGATGCTGTTAACAAAAATTCTTTGATCTTATTATACAGAAAGAAAAAACCGCCATTTCAAAAACCACTATGCACTGCCATAGTCTAGACACTGCCTGTCTTACGCAGACATTTTCCTTCGGTTAAAGCTTTTGCTTTTATATTGCTGTAAATAACTATATCAAAACAAATTCAGTGGTTTATTCGCAACAGAATCAAATAACTGTGCCGCTATAGTTGGCTCCTAAAACAGTGCAAAAAAATTGTTCTACTTTAAATCCTTTAAACAGTAGAGTATTAAA